AAGTGGCTACGGAGACCCCAGGAGGAGACCCCAGGAGAGGGCTCTGCATCAAGCTAGGAGGGGGACAGGGCCTAAGGGGCCACATGGGACAGCCAGCCAGGGTAGGAAGGGAGTCTGAGGGGCTGCAGGGATGCAGGGAGAGGGCTCAGTGTCAGGACAGGGTCCAAGGGGCAATGAGGATGGTGGGGTGGGGCTCAGCACCAAGCCGGGGTGTGGAGGGGCTCTGGGGGACCGCAGTGGCATACCCCTGGCCCGGGAAGGGGGCTCCTCGTCCCGGTCACGGGGCGGTGGGGGGCTCTCAGGCCGGCAGCAGCGTGGGATGAGCGACAGGAACTTCGCCGCTGTCTTCCCGTAGATGTCCAGGTCCCGCACCGCCCGCTTCTGGCTCAGCATCACGTGGCTGCAGGGCAGCAGGTACCTGGGGGCAGGGTGGCACAGGGCAGACACAGGGACAGGGACCCTCCACAGGACACCAGCCCCTTCACAGTGGGGTAAATGATGTGGCTGCCTCACATCCACATGCCCACCTGGGAGCAACTCCCCAGGCCTGTCCCACAGGAGCCCCCAGAGTGGGCCAGCAGCAGGTGACCCCCTCAGCACCCCACCCCAGCCTGTTACCTGAGCACGAGCTGCAGCATCACATCCTCGCAGTTGAGGCTGAGCAGGGTCCGGAAGAGGCTCAGGGACACCATGCACAGCTGGGGACAGCGTGGGGAATCAGAGGAGCAGGCAGGGGGCAGTGCCACTCCCCCACAGCAGGGAAAGGGGATGGGGATGGGAATGGGACAAGGATGGGAATACTGGGGATGGGGATGTTGGGGGTCCACGGGGCTCACCCGGGAGTTGCTGTTGATGCGGCCCACCAGTGTGTCCAGGATGGTGGTGTTGTCGTGCCGGTGCAGCAGCACGAAGCGCAGGAAGGTTTTCAGCAGCGCTGTCTCACTGACACTGCGCAGGAACAGGTCCAGGTAGGCTGTGCTCGCAATCATCTCCTCCACCGAGGTCTGCAGGAGGGGCACGTGGAGCTGAACGCCACAGGGACGGGTGCCATGGGGCCCTGCCCAGCTGCAGTGCTATGGGCAGGGAGACCCCCGTCCCACACCCACTGCCAGGGGTCCCTCACCTTGTGCAACGCCGGCCCCATGACGGGCACAAGGAACCCGTTGTGGACGTAATCCACCAGCTGCTTCTGCACCAGTGGGTGGGCAACCTGAGGGGCCGCAGGGGGGTCAGGCAGCCCCCTACGGGGCTGGGAGCCCCTCACAGCTCCTCGCAGCCCCTCAGCCCCACCTGGATGACAGCATTGCAGAACTCAAGCGAGTTCATGAAGAGGACGAGGGAGGAGACGCCGATCCAGTCCTCCCGCCGCAGGAAGTGCCAGTCATCTCCTCGCACCTCGATCTTGCGGGGCAGGGAGGAGTACAGGGCGCTCAGGCCCGTGGCCAGCACCTGGGAACACATGTACTCGGCTGCCCCGCAGCCCCTCGGACCTCCGGCTGCTGGACCCAACTGGCCTTCCCCAAACCCCAGGAACCTGCCCCCCACAAACCTGCCCCACTCCAGCGCACCAGGCAGGGCAGCTGGGCCGGGTCCTGCATCCACCACTGACCCCAGGGAGTGGCCCCCTCATCACCAGCCCAGTGCTGGGCCCTCCACCACCTCCAAGCCTCCCATCATCACCAAGTCCCCCCATCATCTCCAATGTGTCCAGGCCCCTCATCCCCAAGCTCTCCATCATCTCCAGGCTACTCTGTCACCTCCAAGCCCCCCATCACTTGCAGACCTTCCATCACCCCCAGATCCCCCATCATTTCCAAGCCCTCTAGCCCAAAGCTCTCCATCATTTGCCAGCTCTCCATCACCCAGCTTCCATCATTCCCAAGCCCCCCATAATCTCCAGCCCTACCCCCCACCAGCCCCAAGCCAGGACAGGACTCCTTCCTCTAGGCCTGTCCACAGCTCTTGCCCAGCAACCCAACCCAAGCCCGTGCCAGCAGTGCAGGGTCCCAGCACTGTCCCAGGGAGGGGACATCACCCTGGGTGGGGGGACACCATGCCAGGGAGAGGGGCATCACCCCGAGGAGGGGGATGCCACACGGGGAGCCGTACCGGGCAGAAGTAGGAGTTGTCGGTGATGGACTGGGCCACGGCGCGGTTGCTGGCCGACATGGCCATGATGAGCAGCAGCGCGTCACGCGCCTGCTGGCCCCGCGCGCCCTCGTGGTGGATGAAGGGGATGAGGAGCGAGAAGATGATGAGGTTGGCGGGGCCCTGGTCCGTGTGGCTGTGGAAGAAGAGCTCCAGGATGGCTGGCTCGCGGGCCACGGAGACACAGAGCTGGTTGAGCAGCAGTACCAGGCTGTTCTCGAGCGGGGCCGAGGCGGGCTCGGCGCAGACGCTGAGCAGGCGCAGCAGCGGCGTCAGCACCGGCTTGTGCCGCAGCAGGGGCTGCCGGGCCTGGCTGATCAGCATCTCGTACAGCTTCAGCTGCTCCACCTGGCAACAAGGACAGGGTGGGAAAGGTACAGAGACCACCCAGTGCAGCTGCTCCTCCAGCACAACCCAGCCCAGTGAACCGTGTCCCCAGGCTGTGAAATCCCCCCAGGGCTGGGGATTCCAGCACTGCCCTGGGCCATCTGTGACAGGGCCGGACAGCTCTTTCCATGAGGAATTTCCTCCAGCATCACAGAGTTTTCAGGATGGCTCAAGTAGTCTCAACCCCATTCCAACCTGAACATGCCCTGGGACAGCACCCTACCCTTGGCCTGGCTGACCCTCAACCCACCACCTTCACCCCTTGGATCCAGCCTGTCCCAGCCTCCCCACAAACCCTCCACCACTGCAGACCCCTCTGCTTCCCTCACTCAGACCTTCCTCTCCTCGGTGAAGTCGCCCTGCAGATGCCAGCAAAGGAGCCGCTCCAGCAGGTTCTCAGCAGCCACAAACTCCAGGATGGGCCCGCAGGCCACGTCCCCGTCCCCCTGTGACCTGTCCTTGTCCCCGTCCCCCCAGGGCCGGTCCTCAGCCAGCAGGTTCAGCATCTGGTAGGTGTTGTTGCGGACAGCGCTGAGGTCATCGGGGGCTGGCTTGCTCCCGCGCCGCTCCAGGATCCGCAGCACCTGTGGGAGGGGGCTTTGCAGTGGGGGCTGGGGGCTGGAGGGTCAGGGGATCCTCACTGCCCCCCCACCTGCTCACCTGTGCCCAGTGGTTCTTGAAGACCATGAGGCAGGTCTCGGGGTCAGCGGTGACGGGGGGCTGCAGGCTGGCGCTGCGGGGGGCTCGCTGCCCACCCGCCCGTGGGGTCAGCTTGCTCAGCCAGCTCATCCTCTCCATCGGCACGGGGTCACGGACAGCACCGGGGCACCCCAACCGCTCTGGACGCGGCCTGGCACCACCGCGGGGGCACAGGGCAGCGGGCGGGACGCCAGGGTCCTTTCTCCATGCTGCTGCCAGCGGCCAGGCTGCAGGAAGAGGGGCTGTCAGAGACCCCCCCAGCCCAACCTCACATCCAGCAGCAGGGAGAGAAGCAGAAGGGAAAGTAGGAAGGAAGCCAGGAGGAAAGGAAGGCAATCAAGAGGAAAGGCAGGCAGGAGAGACAGAGCACGGGGAATTGGGCTGGGCAAGCGTGCTGGAGCAGTGGTGGCTGGAGGACTCTTGATCCCAGCCCTGCTCACACCCAGTACTGGACTTTAAACCGGGAACCGGCCCAGCATGGGTGTGGGGAGTACCCGGCAGCCGCAGGGACACCGGGACAGCTGGGACAGCTGCCCACCCCCATGCTCAGCAGCACCCATGGCCAGTGCAGTGTGACAGCGCTGCCAGGATATTTATAGGGCCCCGTGCCCTCCCACCACCACTGCCACTGCAGACACCAGCACAGGACTGAGCACTAAGAGCCCCCAGAGCCAGCAGCACCGGCTTGCCTGGGGACAAAGAGACAGCACAGGGGCCCCCCAGTCCCCCAACAGCATGTGGGAAGGGAAATGGCTTCGAGAGCCAGCGCCACAGTCCTTGTTTGGGGCCTGGGGAAGTGAAAGTGTCATTAAAGACACCCGAAACCACAGGGCAGGAATGGAAAGTGGCTGAAGCTGGGGCAGTGGGACACAGCATGGGCAGGGCCTGTCTATTTATACCCAGCACAGCCCGTCCCACCCACAGCAGGCGCTCGTGTGGCTGCTAAAGTTAGAGCCACTGAATGCCAGGACAGTGCCAGGCCTGGTACCTGGCACTGCGGCCTCAGCAGGAACACTGAGGCAAAGGCACGGTGTGGCACACCGGGGCATCCCCAGCGCAGGGACCCTGCCAGACGCACCGCCAGAGCCACACTGGTGGAACGGGGACACCAGCTGTCACCACCTCTGTGCTGGTACCAGTGCCCCCTCACCCCAACCTGGCTGTGCCTGCCACATGCCAAAGGACCACGCCACGGGGCACAGCACGGGCCGTGCCACCACGGCAGTGGCACCCGGACGGGCCGCGGTGGGGAGCAGCCTCCGCCAGAGCACTGCGGGGTGATCAGGGGCCACCAGAGCAGGGAAAGGGACACTGCAGGCAGGGACAGCGGGGGCACAGGATGACAGCCAGGTGCCACCCGGGCAGGGACGGGGAGACGGGGGCACGGCCACCATGGGCAGAGGATGGCACCCAGTGCCGGGAGGCTGTGGATGATGAGCACCCCGGGGAAACGGAGCTCGGTGCGGGGGTCACCGGGGGCTCGGCAGGGCCGTG